GGAGAGCAGAAGATTACGCGATCTGAGATGTGCGCGCTCCTTCTGAGGCCCATTTGAGGCGGCGCGACTCCGCCCATCGCGCCAACCGACCGGCTCCCCCCAGGATCCCTTTTTCATGCGTCGTATATGTGGCGGGTGAAAATCTGGGCATTCAAATGAGGTTATGCCGTGAAGTAAAATGTATTGTCTGCAGAAATTCTGCAGAATTCGGAGGATGCTCTCGGGGACATTCCGCTCTGTACCGTCACTCGGCGATCCATGCCTTGATACCGGCCATCAAGTCATCTTTTTCATCGTAGGTTCTGTTTGCCAGCCAATTTTTCGACGAACGGTTGAAGTGATAATCCATGAGAGTTTCTGTCGGTGATTATGGTGGATTAGGGTTCTTACTTTTTTTACTTGGCTTCGACCGACTGTTCCATCGACGAAAAGTTCGTTAAGATCGCTTAATGACTCCGTCGCCTTCCAACCTTTCTCGGAGTAATCCTACTTATATGATCGGCTAGGTGTGTCTGTTGGTGTGTTTGTGTGTGTGTGTGTGTGTGTCAGAATGTGTGTGTTTGTCTGACCGGAAATTCATAACTCCTGTCCCACTGAACCTAGAACATTCAAATCTGGAAGGGAGATAGACGTCAGGATGGGATGATGATGGTAGGGGGAAGGAGGTGACAACAATTGACAGAAACAGATCCGTTCGTATTAGCGGTGAAGCCCTGGCACTTTGACAAAAGGTGTAGGGTGCGAAGGGACCGTTAGCGATTGGTGACAGGAAATGATAGCAAGTGATAGGGACTGATAAGAAACCATAGAAGGCGAGAGCCACTAGATCTGTAACGCACTTTCTGTTAATAATGGAATCTTGGAATTTTAATAGGTTTTGTAAGATGTAACAGGATCGTAGGGACTCGGTGACGGGATCGAGAACGGTTGGTGCCAGGCCAGGAGCTGATTAAACTGACAAGGGCTAATGAAAATCCTGGAAAGCGTAGAGCCACCATAATAATGGCATTAATAGTGGAGCCCTGACAGTTTGGCATGTCATGTGGAGTATGGCGGGGTCGTAGACGACCGATGATAGGAACTGATAACAGCTGATAACGACTAATAAGAGCCCTTATCAGCTGAGTTTAACTCCTGTGGTATTTACGATGTATTTATGATCACGACTATAGCATAGATTACGACCGCTACCAGGCAAGAATTGCAACTCGGTGGAAGATCAAGTTTTTTTTTATGTTTTGATATCATTTACGTCAAAGCTCATCCTACCGCCAATAGTTTGGGATTCTCCACTAATGATGTACCCGTGGAGAAAAGAAGGTCCAGTGATAACGACATCTGATAATGGTTGGCATGTGGTGCACGCATTAGCGTGCGTAGTCCAACTGGTACATAATGTGAATATGAGTATGGCTTTCAAGTCACATTTCTGCTGAGGAAACCGAGAAGATTATTTCTATAAAAAACCGAAATTCGATATTCAAATTGTTCGAGGGAAAGGAAGCCGCGAAAAAATCCGCAATAATTATTATGAACTTTTTAAGTACAAACAACTCATTACAGGTAAAGACATCCACTCTTTCGCAATCTTCTTGATTAATGGTCACGAATGGGATTGTAAATATAGTATCCGTCAGCATGTGCAAGCAAATAAACTGTGCAACCGTGTTATTACCGAGTAGTTAAGGACTACGTAAGTCGATTCCGAAATATTTTTACCTGGGAACCTTTTTCTCCTAATGTCTTTTATTTATCATGACTCTTGCAACACCAGCAAAAAAAAAAGGCGTCGCATGGCTGTAGTGGCAATAATAATTACAATAGAGTGGTCCAGTGGATCGTCCTCGTTTCAGGGACACAAGGCTCGGCATTCCTTTTCGTTTAGAGCTTTTGTGAAGAAGTATGAACATCGCGCTGATTGTCCTGATTGCTGGTTCGCTTGACGTCTCAAGGGAACCAGTCAGTAACCGCTCTGTCCTGACGGTCACTACTATATCGCAAATCGTATCCGGTCCACCTCATCTTCGTTTCTTAGTGCAATCAACGACATCCCTGATCTATAATCGGTGACGGAGCTCGGAACTCCGATTTCCCATCTGCAATTGTACGTACAGTGGCGCTCAAAAGTATTCAGCGAAATGCTTCTTTAGTTGTACTTTTCAGTCGTAACTCCTTTCCTACTTGGTGTAATTATGCGAAATTTCAATATGTGTAGCATGAGTGTAGTGTGAATATTTACCACTACTCATCTGCAATCTGATCATGTTCCAGATATCCCAAAGGTTCCAGATTGAACAAAAAATCAACTGGAAAAACGATTAATGACCTTTCCGGAAGTTCTTTCCTTTTTGCCATGTCTAAAGTGTACGAGCGCTAATGTCGAACAAAGAAGAGAAGAAAAACGTACATAAGGTCTGAATAACTGCAGACGTCACAAGCTTGCTTTCAGCATAGTCTACAAACGCCTCCCCATTAGTATGTAGATATGGCTGCTTTGCAGTCAAGTAGTGTTGGACAGTGTAAAATATTCTTCAGCTAAATATATCAAAATTTCATGCGTTTTGCTCCACTGGGAAAAAGTTACGGCAAGTTAAAGTTGGCCGAATACTTTTGAGCGCTACTGCATGCAGAAATTCCGAACATCGCTCTTTCCAAAGCTGTGAAGGGAGCACCAGGTACGATCCCGTATTCTTGAATATCATCTTCTTTAACTTCAGTCTCAGCCGATCTTTCCACAAGAACTGTCGAAATCAGCCAGCACTCGTTCCGCCTGCACGATGTTCGGTGTTATAAACGCGTTGTCGTCTGCAAAGCATAAATAGTGTCCATCGACCTTCAATCCCAAGCCTTCTCATTCCAAATGACGCATGATCTTCTCGAGAGCGGTCACGAAAAGTTTGGACGAAATGGTATCGTCTTGCGGGGCACCTGTTGTCTTCGAGTCGATAAACTTCCCTGTAGAATGACGAAATCCTGATCGTGAAGCTGTCGTAAAACTCACGAGTCACCCTAATGTAGGAACACTGGTTACCGGGGGCTTCAATTACTTCTTCCGACAATATGAGAGGCCTTCTTCAAATCGATGAACATAAGACACTTTTTTACTCTCGCGACATTCACTGAGTGTTGTTGGAGTACGGATATGATCGATTGTACTGAACCCCTTCCGAAACCCTGCTTGCTCGCATGGTTGTCCTTCATCTAATATTCTGCCAATCCTTTCAAGATGACGCGTGTGAAAGCCTTGCAGATTGCAAAGGTAGGCAGATTAAGCAATAGTTGCCAATATCCCCGAGATCTCCCTTCTTGTACAGCAACACAGTCGTTGCATGTTTTCCACGACGTGAGCACTTTGCATTTCGATAGGTAGTGCGTGAAGAGCCTAGCCAGAATTCCGAAGGTAACTGGTGATGACATGTTGAACTTCAGAATAGATAACTGAAGGAACGACATACCCGTCTTGCCGGAGACGGTTAATAAGCAGGTATACGTAGCCGTCGGAGAAATCAGAGCGAGTATAGACGACTTTCTTCATTGCCATTCGAGATACAGTAACTATTCCGTTAGGGCGGCCGAAGGATCGTCTTGGTCATATAACTGACGAAGATCAGGCAGGCTTTATGAATGCTCTTTATAGCCTCGGAGCTCGGCCAGAATTGCTGCTCTATTCTCTTCCAGATCTTCCTTTATCGTTTTTCATTACCTGCAGCTCGCGCGATTCCACGCTTGCGTATCAGCTATCAGTGAGCGTCCTTAAAGAGGGACATTTCTTGGCATATTTGAGATTCACTGCTCTTCTGGCACTACGGTGAAGATGTTAGACGAGCCGGCCGTAATCTTCATCGATGTTGTCGCTAACACAATCTTCTCGCGAAGTCGCAAGTGAAGCGAAGCGATCTTGGTTGACAAGTCTTGGGGCTTCGCAGCTCCCTTTCCACGCACAGAAGAAAAGGATCTAGCGTGGAGAAGACAATGGTCAGATTCTGAGTAGAACTTTGGAATAATAACGCTTCATTGAGTCGAAATTTCGATTGAAGATGAGCTGACTTTATTCATCATGGAACTGTCCATCATGTGATTCCCATGTCCATCGTAAATGAGGGGGCTTCTGGAACTTGAGTCACCATGAATGGTGTGGGCGACATGATAAAATGGGACAGCCTTTCACCCTGCTCACTCTATTCCATTCCGTGAGTCCCGATGTGGAGCTCTTCAGCCGTTCTTTTGAGGCCAATCTTGGCGTTAAAATTACCGACGATGACCTTGAAGAAAGTATGGCCTTCTCTGTAGAGCCTCTCCAGATCCATATAATACGCTTCCAACTCGTCTTCTCCGTAGCTCGACGTTGGTACATAGGCAATGAAGATGGCTAGAGCTGCGTTGAGCCACATCTTCTTGGTCGCAAACGTCAGATTCGGGTTGTTTAACTTCTTCACGAATCGATGTTCATGGCCAAGTGTGTATTGACGAGGACACCTACGTCGCCGACGCCTCTGCTCACGCATGTTCCAAGAAACAGTCCCTCTCCAGTCTCGAATAAAGCGTGCAGCGGGCGATGCCTTCTGTCTCCGTCAGTCCGATGACCTCGCGCTTGATCTTCCTAGCTTGCAACATCAGGTCGTCTATACACGCTCCCGATGTAAGCGTCCGTACGCTTAAAGTACGGATCGCCATCTTAGTCCTCTTTTGAGCACCCTGTTTTGGCCCTGAGATTTCAGCAGCCTGTTCCGAGCGATCCTACCGAACGCTGCCGTATTGGGGGCTCCCTCAGGTTCAGGGAAGTGAGGCCCTTTTCTATTACTGTTTTTGGCGAGTGGATACCCAATATGTGGCTTGTCAGGCTCTGACGAAGTGCTGGCGACTTTCGGTCGGCGATTAATTCTTTTATTCATCTCCTGGGGACACCCTACGTAGCCTCGTCGCTAGCCGGCAGGGAGCCTCCACTAGAGAAAACCCCTCAGTGAAGGAGATCCGTAGTCTTAAATGAGTAAGTGATCAAATAAGATTGGATAGGAAGGACTGAAGGTTAGGTAATCGTTGTCGCCCACGTAGTGAAACTGTAAAAAAAACAAGCACACTGGGGACCGGTTCGGCAGGTTTTTGTCGAAAACAACCAAATTCCAGGCGGTGAACGAACTTGTCCCCGACTATGGTGGTCTCTCGAGACTAAACTGCAACGATCTTATTTACTCACTGAACGTCACAATCATTTGGATCTGACCCATACATCCATTCCATTTACATTCTCCTGTTTTAATTTCATAGCTCCTATCTCATAAATGGGACCAATGTCGTAGAGAAAGAAAGTTCAGGAAGTTAAAGGCACCGTTCACGATAAAAAAGTTATTGAGTACTTACCTTATTAATACTCAGCGGCCCCCATGGGTTATAGAAGGGTCCCTCTCACTCCCCCAATCTCGATGTCCAGGGCATAGTGGCAGCCCCGTTGTTGCCGTAGTTCGCGTTCCCGCTCCTCGATCGGTGCCGCGTTAGACGAGTGTCGAGACAGTACAGATTGCTACTATTCGTTCTAGGACCCATGCACAATCAGCCAATCGCCGAGTGATGAGGCGATGTTTTTTTCCCATTCTTTTTTCCTCTGTTTTTCTTTTTGCTGCCGCGATCCCTTATTCAATTTCCTACTCCTAGAGGCTGAGAAAGGTGAGCTACTTTTGCTGTTACTAGTGTTTTTTTTGTTTATTTATGCTTATAAGTGAATGAATTTTTGCTTACCATTAAGTGTTCTTCGCACCAGGACCCACA